CCCCCCCCATTTAAATTTTTTTTATTAAATTTTTTTTTTTATTAAGTCAAAATGAAAATGAGAAATGTAGACTGAAAAAAGGTTTAATTATATAAAATATTTTATTTCAGTTAACATTTGTTTAAAGTAACAAAAATGTTGTATTTTTTATTCTAGTTTTTTACATTTTTTGTTTTAGTTATCTATGACAAAGTTGTAAACAATCATTCTTCTTGCATATGTGTTTGGTGATGTTAGTAGCACAGAAATGATAGTAGTCTAGTTGAGTATTCTAGGAATTTAGGAAAACCTGCCAGGTAGGTATTTTCACAACATATAAAAAGTTATATTGAGGCACAAGATGATAGAAAATCTTTAGAAAAAAAATAAGACATTTTTTGGAATTTATGTCAAATACTTGGAAGTTGAATTAATATGTTAAAACATCTGTGATCTAGAACAGAAAACTGAGAATCAGGTTTTACAAATTAAAAACAGTGGGATTTATTACATCATATTAGAATTTTTTGCCCTAAACCCCATTCATTTCTGGCACTGACTGTAATATAATGCAAAAAAAAAAAAAAGTTGAACCTCTTAAGTCTAATTAAAAAAATACAAATAATCAGAAAACCTAAAACAACAGGACATGCAGTAATGCAAATTTGTAGGGTAATGTTTTTAATTGCCATCTTTGTTATGACCTTGACATGTTTTTGTGATATTAATTCATAGGATTTTGGTATTTGTTGCAGATTCGCTTTGGTTTGAAAAACAGATCTGTCTCATACTATTAGACAGTGAACATTACTATATATATATTAAGTACATTTAGATTGTTTTTTTTCTGAGCTTGTTTTGTATTTGTGTCTCTGGTTTACATTTCATTTGGTTATTTGTGTTTTGTATTTCTCAGTCCCTGCGAGTGCTGTGTTCCTCAGATCTTAAACCATACATCATCTTCATCAGGCCTCCTCCTCCTCCTCAGGAGCGATTCTCCACCCTGCTGACCAGAGGTAGATTTTTTTGCTCCCTCAGATTCCAGATTTTCAAATAGTTGTATCTCAGCCAAATATTGTCCTATCATAACAAACCATACATCAATGGACAGCTTATTTATTCAGATTTCGGATTATGTATAAATCCCATTTTCGAGAAATTGACCCTTATGACTGGTTTTGTGGTTCAGGGTCACATATATATATATACATATATAGTAAAAATATTTAGTAAATAGTACATATATATTTATACTGTATATAAATAAATGTATATATTTTTTCATTATACATTTTTAATTATGTATGAATTAGGTTTTTGAGAACACAAGTAACATAATATTTCACACCAGATTTCTCTTTGAGCAATTGACAAAACAATAATTATCATGTTTCCTTTGCGCAGCCTGAGGATGTGAGAGAGACCTTGGAGAAAGTGCGTGAGATGGAGCACAGCTACGGTCACTTGTTCGATGCGGTCATCACAAACACCGAGCAGGAGAAGAGCGTCTCTGAGCTGCTGAGACTCATTGACAAACTGGACATCGAGCCGCAGTGGGTCCCTTCAGACTGGGTCAGCTAAAAACACTTTCAGTTCAGAAGAAATGATGTTTTCTGTGTTGAAGGCTCGAAATGTTCTGATGATGAGCCACAAGCGGTGTGTTTGAAATGGCCTGCCAGTACTACTCGTACTATTACTGCAGTTTGCATATTGTGCACAGTATGCTAACTTTTTATGTGTGTGTGTCCGCTTGTTAAAGGAATAGTTCACACCAAAATGAAAATGTCCTCACCTTCAGGTCATCCAATATGTAGATGAGTTTGTTTCTTCATCAGATTTGGAGAAATGCAGCATTGCATCAGTGTCTCAGCAATGGCTCCTCAGCAGTGAATGGGTGCCGTCAGAATGAGAGTCCAAACAGCTGATAAAAACATCACAATAATCCACACTATCATTAAGACGAAATTAAGTTCAAAACATTGTTTCTGGCTAAAATATGAGTCCATAATCCATAATAACAATTCCTCCAGTGAAAAAATGGTCTGGTCTGAATCAGGAGAGAAATTTTCAGCTGAGTTTTATCAGCTGTTTGGACTCTCATTCTGACGGCACCCATTCACTGCAGAGCATCCATTGCTGAGACACTGATGCAATGCTACATTTCTCCAAATCTGATGAAGAAACAAACTCATCTACATCTCAGATGGCCTGAGGGTGAGCGAATTATTTCAGCAAATTTTCATTTTTGGGTGAAATATTCTTTTAAACATACCAATTCATGAGAATCCATAAATTAATGTATTCACATAAATATAGTATGCTGTACATCACGCACAGTACGCAGTACACTATTTTTCCATTCCAAAGAAGCCTAAGATGCTGCAATATAGGTTCTATAAGATTTGTGGAGATTTCTGCAATATTGTTTTATTACAGTATTTTGTGTTTGTAGTATTTGACCTCCAACATTTCCATACCTGTAAAAAAATTAATATATATCTTCAAAATATTTCCTCAGCATGGAGGATATTTGAGAGCAGTTTCATATAGCTTTAAGTCCATTTCCATGTTCTTATAGTAAGGTGATGTATTACACATTAATGACATTGTTGAATGTAAAACTTGTTGAATGTATAATTTGACAATACCTAAATCAAAACTAATGTTAAAATTGTTTTTCATTAAAAAAGTTAAATGGTGTAATGGTATGCAACGCTTGATATTTTGAGTGCAAAACCACTGAAGCAACTCTTTATTTCTTGCTTTAACAATTATTTTTGAAATGAAATGTAGCGAATGTGTGAATTAGATTTTTTTTTTTTTTTGTAAATTTTAATATATTGTTTGATATAATGCATTTACCTTATATGGAAGCCCTTTCTGCCACTGGATAAAAATAAATTGAGAGGTAATACCTTTTTATCTCAATTCTTTTTTTTTTCCTCACAATTGATTTTTTTTGTTTTTGTCAATTTTAATTACACAATTCTGACTTTTTTTCTCACAATTGCCAAATTCTCAAAATTTTGAATTTATATATCACAATTCAAGAAAAATGTCAGAATTGTGATATTAAAAACCTGCTATTACCTTTATTTTTTAATCCTGTGGCAGAAACAAGCTTTCAAAACCTTCAGCTGATTTGAAAAGTTTATGTCAACATGCATTTGCAACCCATTTGAAGTCTACAATGTGAAATACTGAAAGGCTAGGAAATCTCAGCACTTCAACAGTGTACATCACAAAAAAGAATCAACAGAAAATGACCATTTTCAACATTTATTGAAATTAAATTCACAGGAAGTGAAATCTGGGTACACATTTGCACTGAGAACAAACAACTGGGCATGTGGAAGAATCTGGGCTGAGGTTCGGTAAGGATTGTGTCAGCACTGAACGGTTTCTGCAAAAACTCAAGAGAAGTACGGTACGTCACAGAATATTCTCCGTTATCACACACTAGCTAACCGGTTGAACACGCATGCAATAAGACTGGAGCGTGGAATGATCATTTGAATTCATTTGACAGCTTTTCTTTCCTGTTCAAACATAAAAAATCCTTGCACTTGAAACAGTTTCTGGATACACATTTTTACAGCGTCTGTGATATATGTTCTATTCATCCTAAACAAAAAAAACGTGACAGGGCACCAACATACACACAAAACAAGAGCTTCCTCTTTTCATGTGAAGCTCGGCCTTACAGGCACAAAGCATAAATATGACGTGGTTCATTCAAACAGCAGGTCCTCGTCGGCCTCTTCGTTTAGCATGTTCATGGGCTCTGAGATTGGCCCCAGTGCCGCCAAACGCTGGGCGATCTCCTTCTCCGTCCTCTCACGGTGCTGCTTCTTCTTCTCCTGGATCTTCTTGAGCCTGCGATGGGAAAACGGGAGGATCAAGGGTTGGTGGATATTCTGAATATCTGATTTTGGACTGTATTAATATATATTCTATTCATTTATATATTGTTAATATAAAATTTCATTTGAACTGCCAAAAACATTCTATGTCTCCACGGGTGCTTAAAAAGCCTTACGTTTTATTCGATTTGAGGTCATAGAAATCTCTAAAAATGGTGTAACGAAAGTCTAAATTATCATTTTAAGAGATCTTAAATTTGGGGATGGAAAAACAGGAATCACAATGCTGCCTAATGTGATAAACTGCAAAAACAATTGTATTAATTACACTTGAATGCTTTGCCTTTCCAAGGCAAAACACTATCATTAACATGCATTTATGACAAGTGATTACTTATGATAAATTATGAATTTATTTGATGATGTTTCTATTGATATATGTTGCAGATAGTTGTTACAGTACACATTACTCGCTCTGAAAGAGCAGCTGGAAGTAGTAAGACAAAGACCTTTCAAAATAAGAGTCCTGGTGCATTTTGGGATTGTTTATCAAGGAACAAATAAGAACATTACTTAACATGTTTAATATATAGATTTTACTGGTATCAGCACAATAATCTGGTTATTACCATTCTTTAAACAAATTATTATTGTATCGGCAAACTCCAATAACAGTCTACCTCTAATACCTATTGATTTTTTTGCTACATAAACCAATTTAATATATGTGACCCTGGTCTTAAGTCGCTGGGGTATATTTGTAGCAATAGCCAACAATACATTGTATGGGTCAAAATTATTTTTCTTTTATGCCAAAAATCATTAGGATATTAAGTAAAGATCATGTTCCATGAAGATATTTTGTAAATTTCATACCTTAAATATCAAAACTTAATTTTTGATTAGTAATATGCATTGCTAAGGACTTCATTTGGACAACTTTAAAGATGATTTTCTCAATATTTAGATTTTTTTGCTCCCTCAGATTCCAGATTTTCAAATAGTTGTATCTCAGCCAAATAACTAAACCAAAACCATAAAAATCATTCAATTACTGGAAATAAAATAAATGTTAAATTAAACGCAATAAAACAAAACAAAATAAAACCCTGAAACTTATTTCAACTAGTTGACAAGGCAATATTTCTTACTTTCATTTAGTTTAAATACTAAAATAACTGAAATACATAAAACATAGATTATTTAAATAAAAAAATTATATAGATATATTTAAAAGATAATGTCAAAAACACACCAAAATGACTAAAACTTTGATTGCAATTAAAATGAAAACTAAATATAAACTAATTTGAAACTACAATAGTATCTCGAGATTAAAATAACACTGATATAGCTAAAGCAATACATGTTTGAAACAGAAGTATGCTACATTGTCGTCACATGATGTTGCTCTATTGCACTGCGGTCTCACCGGTAGAATTCCTCTCGCTCCCGTTCATCCAGCTCAGTAATGATGTACGTGAGCGTGCGCTCGATCCTGGGAATAATCACTGAGAGGAAAAACATAAGAGCGTCATGTTATAGTGCTTTTAAAGTGCCCCTATTATGGATTTTTGAAAATGACCTTTCATGCTGTGTGTAACACAGATCTAATTAAATGAAAACATGCTGCAAAGTTTTAAATCTGAAAGTGCACTGTGTATAAAGTTATTGTCTCTCAAAAGAAAGAGTCGACTCTGAATCATTGAAACGAGTCGTTTTTAAAACGAATCACAAGCCGTTTCATGTTGACGTCAACATGAAACATTAGCATATTGCCCGCCCACTTGTTGATCTTTTCCAGTTGGTTGAATGAAAATGCTAATTCATTCTTTGCCACTAGGTGCTGCTTTTGGAGCGGTAAAATAGCGGTTTCCCCGGTAACGCTGTACACAAAGCAGCACTGCGCTCACAAACACTGCTTTATCAGGCATTACAGGCATGATGAAATGAAAATGAGACCAATCGGACCAATCACCGCAGACTAGCGTCACGCAAAGGAGGGGTTTGGAAAAATTAATCGTTAAACGAATCGTTTGGGAGTCGTTGAGCAAGTAAGGTAAAAATAAATGCATATTATAAGACAATGAAAGTGTTTTTTGACCTTGCATGCATGTCAACCTGCTGTTGGGGACTCCCAAAACCAAAATATGAACCTTTCATAACCCATAATAGGGGCACTTTAAATGCTTATATACAACTCAGTTTTTATTTGATTGATTGATTAATTATTATAAACTTTATTTTTAGTTTTGTTTTTGCCTAAAAATTATTTTCAGTTTCAAATTTTTTTTTATTTTGGTGCATTATGCTCAATACCATATCAGCAGCCATAACTGTACTTCTAAAATAATTATAAAATAAAACAATAAAGGAAGCCGTTTCATGTTGAAGTCAACATGAAACATTAGCATATTGCCCACCCACTTGTTGATCTTTTCCAGTTGGCTGAATGAAAATGCAAATTCATTCTTTGCCACTAGGTGCCACTTTGGAGCGGTAAAATAGCGGTTTCCCCGGTAACGCTGTACACAAAGCAGCACTGCGCTCACAAACACTGCTTTATCAGGCATTACAGGCGAGATTAAATGAAAATGAGACCAATCGGACCAATCACCGCAGACTAGCGTCACGCAAAGGAGGGGTTTGGAAAAATGAATCGTTGAGCGAATCGTTTGGGAGTCGCTGAGCAAGTAAGGTAAAAATACATGCATATTATAAGACAATGAAAGTGTTTATTGACCTTACATGCATGTCAATCTGTTGTTGGAGACTCCCAAAACCAAAATATGAACATTCATTACATATAATAGGGGCACTTTAAAAGAAGCCTGAAGGTTCATTCTCTTCAGAGGTGGCTGTGAGATCTCACCGTGCTCGATGGCGTTCACACGGCGGTTTGTGATCTTGATGGCCTCGTCCAGCGTCACAAAAGAGGTCTGTAAGTGAATGAATCACATAAGACATTGATTAAAAATGTTCTACATCAAAAAATGAAGATTTGGATACAAATATTCATACCTGCAGTGAGGCCAGCTCTACAAGAAGCTCGACTGCTTTGGCGTAGTTCCTCTTGAGCCGAGACAGCTGCTCTCCACCTCTGGCCAGACCAGTGAGCTCATAACCTGCAGAGAAGAAAAAATACATCAGCAATGATGATGATGTTCAAATGATCTTCAGTATTGTGCTTTTTCACAGATATTTGCTATCACCCTCAGGCCATCCAAGATGCAGATGAGTTTGTTTCTTCATCAGGTTTGGAGAAATGTAGCATTGCATCAGTGTCTCAGCAATGGATGCTCTGCAGTGAATGGGTGCCGTCAGAATGAGAGTCCAAACAGCTGATAAAAAGTAATCCACACCACTCCAGTCCATCAGTTAATGTCTTGTGAAGCCAAAAGCTGCGTGTTTGTAAGAAACGAATCCATCTTTAAGATGGCTTTCACTTCAAACCGTTGCTTCCAGCTAAAATACGAGTCTATAATCTACAATAACACTTCCTCCAGTGAAAAAGTGGTCTGGTCTGAATCAAGAGAGAGATCTGCACAGATCAAGCACCGTTTACAAGCCAAAACAGCTCTAAACAAATATGTGGGTGGATTTTGATGTGAGAGACAACATGAGATGGACTTTCACTGGAGGAAGCGTTATTATGGATTATGGACTCATATTTTAGCCAGAAGTTAAAATGCATTAATAATGGCAAACACGCAGTTTTCACCTGAATAGATGTTAACTGATGGACTGGAGTGGTGTGGATTATTGTGATGTTTTTATCAGCTGTTTGGACTCTCATTCTGACGGCACCCATTCACTGCAGAGCATCCTTTGGTGACACACTGATGCAATGCTCCATTTCTCCAAATTTGATGAAGAAACAAACTCATCTACATCTTGGATGGCCTGAGGGTGAGTACATTTTCATTTTTGGCTGAACTATTGAAGAGAACAGGATTCTTACTGTCTCCTCCCTCCTGGTAATGCTCAAACACCGGTAGAGTAACTCCTGAGAACAAACACAGGTGACACTCATGATGAGGTGAGCAATTACAGAAGAAATCTGCCAGTTTTGTTGTTACTAAAAATGATTTAGCTAGCGAACCTGCAACATTGTCCTTTTTTGCTCTGACCTTCACCTGGGCCTTGTTCACATTCTGAATGACTGTAGTGCTTGATGGGACAGAATTCAAACACATTGAGTGAGATCTGCTATCAGATTCTTCCCGTGATGCATCATAACTATGAAAAACTTAACTACCTGAAGTCACCAGCAGCAAATTTGGCCTCAGCTAATGAAAAGGCGGCTTCTCTCATCACCTCTCCCATCAGCGTCTTAGTCTGAAAGATTAAAAGTCACATCGTTGTTAAGAAGAGAAAAAATGTACTTAGAAAATAATATTAAATTAAAAAATAAGTGACAAAAATAAAGTCAACATGTCAAATAAATAAACATGTCTAAAATAAAAGCATAGGTATGATGTTATACCTCAATGATTTTTCGAAGAATTTGCCGAAATCGCATGGACAGAGCATCAGCTTTCTTCTTCAGCAAATTCCGGCCAGTTTGAGCTCCTTTCAGTCGAGCTTTCATAATGGTCTGGGCCCTGATGCAACACACAATAATACATAACAAACAAACAGCAATATACAGGCCATGAATATATGAAGGGAAATGTATGACTATTTACTAATGCAATTCTCATATGGTTAAATTTTTGGTCGTACTTCCTGAATATGCCTATGTACTTTAGCATTTATTTTATTATTCTAATGTGATTATTTATTTTACATCATTGCGCATTCTTATAGGTTGCAACCACTACATATACTATGTATTTCTGTTCAGTATCTCTCAGTTCTGGTCAGTAGACTGTTGGGCAGTAAAGGGCTCACATGACTGTGAATAATAGCACTTCCTCTTCTGAGTCCACTTAAAATTACTGCAAGATTTAATTTCACTTGATTTATATGAATCCAAAACACATCTTGCATATTGTCATCCATCATATCGAGTTATACATTTAATACTCTACAGACGAAATGTATCTGCGTAATAATATATTGACAACATTGGCAAATATGATATGCGTGTTTATATATATATATATATATATATTGTCAAACACATAAAATACGAAATTTATACAAAATACATCAAATATTTAAAATGCGTACATCTACAATTCAACTACATCAAAACACAATATATACAAATATTAAAGATATTTTATTAACTATTTTTGTAAAACAATGTACATTTAGCGTAATGCAGCAGCTTTCTATGACTCTTTATCTCTGATCAAGTTATAAGTCATAAAACCTAGAGGATGCACGACTCCAGCGCATTCAATGTCGTCTTAGTTCGTGCTTTGAGATTGTAACTGCTTTCTAAAACCATAAACTGCTCAAATATGTTTGCACGATTGAAAATAATGAATCTGATTTGCCTTTATGAGCCCTAATACTCACATTCTAGAGGGAAAAACGTCGATCCGATCTTTTCCGGACATCTTTCTTCTTTATTGAAACGCTGTATCAAACTACTGAGACGCTTTGCTGTTGAAATCGTCGAATAAATCGTTTAAATATAGTACCAGTTTATTTAATATCACGACTAAATGACTATAACACCATCGCTATGACTCTAGTTACAGGACGCAGGATTTGATCAGCTGACTGGAGGTCACGTGATTCCTCCTGAACGCAGCGATTGGTCAGCGTCACTTCCGTACGTAGTGGTATTCACATTTCAAAATAACGCTCAACAGTAATGACGGTAAAGCAATTTTGTTTGGTTTCCCTCAAAATAATTTGCACTTTTATTTAATTTATTTTGCTTAGTGTTTAATTTATTTATTTTAATTTATTATTATTATTTTTACTTTGGCTTGAAGAACTTTTTGACGGTGTTTGGTCTGCTAACAGTACATCCGTGTGTTATCGGAGGATATAAGATGATTTTTTATTTTTTTAAAAAAACGGAACGACCGTAAGAAACAATAAGTATTCTTTATTCTTTATATCTAATCTGTTTTATAGTTAAAATCTCCTCCTAAAAATATGCATAAGTGACTTTTATTTTGAAGTGTGGTTGACAGCGGCCGTGTTGAAGCAGAGTCCCTGTTGTGTTCACTGGTTGGGGCAACTAACACTCGCAGAAAACGAGCGTTTCTAGAGATTTAAAGGGTTTAAAGTGAGCCGATTGTGACACCTGTCAGGTGGGATTGAGTTAACTTTACGTCCGTGCTAGTTTGGCTGATGTTGAGCTCGTTTTTGGGATGATATGAGGGTTTTAATGGCTGCTGTCAAACGACATGTACCGCACGCGCGCATTTACTCCGCACTGATGAACAGATCAATAAATAGATTCATAGATGCCTGAACAGATAGATAGGTAGATGTACTTTTTGATATCTTCAGCGAAATTAATATTTATACATTGTGTAATTTATGTGAACAGTGCAACATTCATCAGAAAATTACACGTTATGCAATAAACAAGATATCTAAAAAAATATATAATAATAATACACTGTTTACAATATACAGAAAACTGTAGACCTGGGGAAAAAAAAGTTTGGGGGAAATTAAATAAATAAATAATAGGCATAAGATTAAAATAAATAATAAAATTATATTGAGATGAAAATAATAATCACATTTTAAAAATACAAATAATACAACTGATTAAAATTTTAAAAAAAAAATACAAATGTATAACGTATAAATGATACATTTAATAAATAGATTGAAATAAAATAACGCAAAGTATTGTAAGTATTGTAGTACATTGTGTAATTTATGTGAACAGTGCAACATTCATCAGAAAATTACACGTTATGCAATAAACAAGATATCTAAAAAAATATATAATAATAATACACTGTTTACAATATACAGAAAACTGTAGACCTGGGGAAAAAAAAGTTTGGGGGAAATTAAATAAATAAATAATAGGCATAAGATTAAAATAAATAATAAAATTATATTGAGATGAAAATAATAATCACATTTTAAAAATACAAATAATACAACTGATTAAAATTTTAAAAAAAAAATACAAATGTATAACGTATAAATGATACATTTAATAAATAGATTGAAATAAAATAACGCAAAGTATTGTACTATATTGAGCAGTGTTATTTTAATTTAATTCTTTTTATTATTATTTTAAATACGTTTTTATTTTTGTGTTTATATTTTATTTATTATTTAGTATATTTGTTGTGTGTTTTGTTAGTTTTAGTAGTTTGTTGTATATATATATATATAGTTATTTTTTGTTATTTTGATAGTGAGTAGCAAAGATATTTTTTGAATTATTTAAAAAAATAATAACTTGATACAAACGAAATATTTTCTAAGTCATATTTAGAATATAAATGTATTTTTTTACAGTATAAATTGGTTCTTTATACATGAAAATATATAGCTGCCTTTTCAATTTTAGAATGGGGTCCCTCACATCAGAATGATCATACTTGGGTTTGCGTGGCATCTAAAATATTAATTTTTTTATTTAAAAAAAACAACAAAAACAAACAAACACTAGCTTTCTATTTTTTCTATTCTATCTACTTGTTTTTCTTTGTGTGTGTGTATAATATATATATATATATATATATATATATATACACCTTGCTACGTGTACTGCGTTAGGCTAACCGAGACTTGTCATTTGCACTTATATATTGTTGCTCTTTTGTTAGTTTTGACTGCTTTTATTGTCCTCATTTGTAAGTCGCTTTGGATAAAAGTGTCTGCTAAATGACTAAATAAAAAATAAATAAATAATAAAAAAGATTGAAAAGCATTTGACTACGTATCTAATAGGACTAATGGTAAAATAATCAGACGTCAGATCTGAAAAAGATGAATGCAGTTAGTCTTGTGCTCAATAAAGAATTGCTAGTCGTCACCTGCATTGGTTTGATATGGTCTCATTGTATATTTTGAACAAGCTTTTGTCTTCAAAGTCACATAAAAAACAACAAAAAAGTACATTTCAAAAACCTCAAATTTAAAAAAATGGTTATTTTGAAAATAATTTTAAATTAAATCTATAAAAATAATTTACAAACAAAAAAATATATATGCAAGTCAAGACATAAAGTAAATAAAAGCGTAGGAGTGATGTTGTGCATGTATTGTGTTGCGCAGAGATGCCGGGCCTCAGCTGTAGGTTTTATCAGCACCGCTTCCCCGAGGTGGAGGATGTGGTGATGGTGAACGTGCGCTCCATCGCTGAGATGGGTGCGTATGTCAGTCTGCTGGAGTACAACAACATCGAGGGCATGATCCTGCTGAGCGAACTGTCCCGCAGACGCATCCGCTCCATCAACAAACTCATCCGCATCGGACGCAACGAATGTGTGGTGGTCATCAGAGTGGACAAAGAGAAGGGTGAGTCTGTCACAAACACAAGCATCTATGCAGAGAGAGAGAGAGAGAGAGGTTCAGTCAGGGTCAGAATCAGACATTCACTTCTCCATTCAGGAATTTGTTGATTTTATCATTACTTTATTAATTGTATCTGTGTTGTCTTTAATGTCAGATACTTAAATTTAACCAATCACTTAAATCGATCAGAACTCTTTAAACTGTTACCAATAACAACAAACTTCAAAAATAATTCATACATACACTACCATTCAAAATTTTTAAATAAGATTTTTTCATTTTTTTATTTATGCATTTATTTTTTGAGAAAGGAATTAATGCTTTTATTCAGCAAGGATGCATTAAATGGATCAAAAGTGACAGTAAAGACATTTATGTTACAACAATTTCTATTTCAGATAAATGCTGTTCTTTTGAACTTCGAACTTGTAAACTTTCTATTCATCTGTGAATCCTGAAAACTAAAATGTGTCACGGTTTTCACAAAAAATAGTCACTGTTTTCAACATGATTATGTTGTCAAATTTCAACATAATCAGAAATGTTTCTTGAGCAGCAAATCAGCATATTAACATGATTTCTGAAGGATCATGTGACACTGAAGACTGGAGTAATGATGCTGAAAATACAGCTTTGATCACAGGAATAAATTACATTTGACTATATATATTCATATCGAAAACAGTTATTTTAAATTGTAATAATATTGCACAATATTACTTTTGTAATTCAACTTTTTTTATTGTTCAACAGTCAAAACTTCGTACATCACCACAGTATTCAATATTCACCTTTCCAACCAATGACATATTCACCCACTAGTCACCATCAATGTAATAAAACAAAAGCACGTGGAAATTTAACAGTTGTTAAGGAGTCCTGCTCATCAATCACACCATTTTTATATGCTGCCAAAAATGATCCCATGTTTTTTTCATTTCTCCCTCACTCTGCAGTCTCCCCAACATGCACTCATATGATGCAATTTCAATCATCCCATCAATCCAATCTTTCAAATCTGGGGTTTTGGGGCATTTCCAATTGCGCAAGATCATACTGGCAGCTGTGATACAACCAATCTTAATAAGGGTAAAAGCATTTTTTGCTATATTAGGTACAGCTGATTTATCTCCAAGAAGGCATAATTGTGGTTCCACAGGTAAATTAAAGCCCAACCACTCTTCAGGTATTCTCAGAATTTTACGCCAGAATGGCTGAACTAAAGAACATTCCCAAATCATATGCAAATAAGTGACATCTTCTTCCTTACATTTCCAACATACATATAATCCTGCCAGCATCGTCTTTAGCTTCCGTTAACATTAAAAAATTAAGCCTCTTATTTATTAGGATCATTACCCCATTTTGTTTGCTCGTAAATGATGGATAAAATACATGTCCCAACCAATCTCGTTTGAATTTTAGTGCTTCATTATCTGTTACATGGCTTTCTTGCACAAAAGCAACATCTACTTGTTTATGTTTGAGATATGACAGGACTTTTTTCTTTTAATTGGGCTTCCACATCCGTTAATGTTGCTACTTTAATGCTACACCAATCAGCTGTTTACAAATTCTGTTATATCAGTTATACTTTTAAAAAAACACAAAACTCATATGGCTGCAATACATCATTATTGTCGATTATGATGAGAGAATTTGTGAGCACACAGATTTGTTGAGCACACACTCAACAAAACATTTTAAGCGCTGAACACTTTAAACGCATCTGATTGGCTCGTTTTCAGTGCTGACCAATCTAAACAGTGCATTGTCATCGAAGGCATTTACAATGGCATCGCTTCATTGTAAATGAAGCCACCATTCATTTCCAGCCCTGGTTTTACATTTGACCGTTTTGACATGTTTTTCTTCTTTAGGATACATTGATTTGTCCAAGAGAAGAGTGTCTCCGGAAGAAGCCATCAAGTGTGAGGATAAATTCACCAAATCTAAAACAGTGAGTATGCATATTGAAAATGGAAGTAAAAGGTAATGTTTTTGTGGTTTGATGTTGTTGTGGTTGTTGTGCTGCAGGTGTACAGTATTTTACGGCATGTGGCTGAAGTGTTGGAGTACACTAAAGACGAACAGCTGGAGAGTTTGTTCCAGCGAACCGCTTGGGTGTTTGACGAGAAATACAAGAAACCCGGTTACGGCGCCTATGACGTCTTCAAACAGGCCGTGTCGTGAGTGTTCAACATAGATGCAAACTCCTCAACTTTCACTTTTTTGAGATCAAAATAGGTCACCTATGAGATTTGCTTAGATCCAATGAGAAAGTGTTTTTTTCCTTGT